ATATCCTGTAATCCTGTACATTTATATATATATATAATATATATCAATTATAAACATTTGATACTTATTTCAAAATTAAATTGTTACTCATTAAAAAAATAAAAAATTATTATTATATTTTTGTATTCTCGCAAATCCTCGCGATGACAGGAAGCAGTGGCGTTATGGTCGCTCGTGGTACCCGGAAAACACCGTCAGAGTGAGAGCTCCTCGTCCTCCACACACTCTCCGGTGACGTTCCACATCCAGCCGGTCACAGTGTCCGTGTTGGTAGCTGGTAGCTAAGCTAACTAGCTAGCTCACCTGCCGGAGCTGCCTCCTCCGCCTTCAGAAGGCAGCTGAGCGGAGAGCCGTGACTGTGAACACCCGTCGCCTCAATGCGTCTCCCGTGGCCGCGATGGCAGCGACAGAAACGGTCTGAGCTCTTAGCTATGTAGCTAGATGGTTGACATTATATCTGTAGTTTAATGTTTAGTGTGATTCGTGCCCCTTTAGCTATTTCCACCAGTAGCTAGCTTTTTTTTTTCCCTGTACGGGACAGACGGCGGCAGCTAGCCGCCTCTCTCGTCGCTACAGGAGGATGCTGAAGCTGTTCGGCGCGCTGGTGCTCCTCGGACTGGCCTTGGCGTGCATCACCTCCTGGGTGCTGGACAGCTACGACACGGCGTTGCACCTGAAACGGAGCGTTCATCAGCAGCCGACTGTCGGTGATGGAGATGGATCCAAAGGGAGCTCTCCACCATTCCCCGGCGGCGAGTTGGGCAATATATTCTGGTTTATACAGGTGGGCTTCATTCTGTCTCACCAGCTAGTCTTTAGTCATTTGCCACAAACAGAATGATGCTGTCTACATTTAACCAATACCTCAATTTACATTCAACATAAATGTAGACGACCTACCTTTGGCTTTTGCTGTTGTAATTCACCAGCTGAACTCTGAACTGTGAATGATTGACAGAAAGGGGTCACTGACCACAGAAGTGTGTCATTGTCAGGTTAAAAAAAAAAAAAAAGGTGCTTCAGCAACACTGTAATTTGTAGTCAGACTTTGTACGATTCTGTTTTACAACTCCTATACTAATACTAGATAAAGACCAGATTTAAGACCATTTTTATTATGATTTATTTATCACTGATTCTGTCTTTATTGACGTCTGCTTCAAGGTCTCTGACATTCACATTAGCCGCTTTCACGACCCGAGACGCATTCCCGATTTTGAAAAGTTCTGCACTGACACAATCGAAGTGATCAAGCCGGATCTAGTGCTCGTGACAGGTACAGTAACCTGCCACCCATCTTCAACTAAAGCCACTTGTGATGAGGCTATGTGGGCGTGGCCACGTTGACTCTTCCCCCCCCACTCCACAGGGGATCTGACAGATGCCAAAACAGAGAGTAAGGTGGGCTCCCTCCAGCACGAGGTTGAGTGGCAGGCCTACCACAACATCCTGAAGAGGTCGCGCGTGATGGAGCGCACCAGGTGGATAGACATCCGAGGAAATCACGGTGATTAACCGCAGCACTTTGTTATCGCTACGTTCTCTCCAATACAAACATCCCAGAGTACAATTAAGAGTTTCTCAAGAACCCATTAACTGCGGCGCTCATCCTACCCCTCCTCTTCACTGCTGCTTCCACCATTAGATTCGATGTGAAAGGAGATATCTTGTAACTGTCGGGAAAAAAAGAGAGCTAGTTATTAGATCTGGAGTTTCTCTGACCGCTCTTCTGCTCTTATTGATCGCAGTTGTTGATGTCGGTTTAACTGTTTGTCGGTGATTTTGTTCTATATCTTCCCGTAACACGAGGAAATCTGATTCCTGGAATAAACATGTATCGGTCTATTGGGAATTCATTCATTAGACATTCAGTAACCTCTTTCATCGTTTGTATTCTGCTCAATCTCACCATTTTCTTTTCAATTTCTCCTGACAGATGCCTTTAATATTTTCTCTCTGGACAGCATCAACAACTACTACGGGTCAGTATGAATTGGTCAACAGTACAGTAAATGCCTGATTGTCACCCAGTCTCTACTCCGGCATGTCTTGAGTGTGAAGTAGATCACAGCACACAGTAACTTCAATAGTTGCAGACCTATTTATCGACAATAATCCGAGCTGCCTGAGCTTCCTGAGGACTAAAATAGAAGCAGAATCTGCATGAAACAGAGGCCGACTCGCTTTTCTTCTGCCACAAATGATGTTTTATGTGACACTGCCGCTCCTGTTAATGCTGATTGATCTTTTTATCTCCTTTAATATTCTTAATGTTGTGGTCCTCCTCTGCCAGACACAATCTGTCTCGCCTAATTTATTTATCTGAAATTCATCGAATTACCTCAGGACTCGATTGGAGCTGCTGGCTCCGTCCCAGACCGCCGTATCTCGTTGCTCACATCGACCTTTCTTTTTTTTCGAATTTTCTCCAGGAAATACTCGGCTAATCAGAAAGTAGGCTCCTTCCACTATGTTCACAAAACACCCTTTGGCAACTACTCCTTTGTCTGTGCGGATGCCACTCTGACACCGGGACCCAAGAGGCCGTACAACTTCTTTGGTATTCTCAACCAGGTACAACCGTCCGGCACCTTCACTGAGTTTGTGTCAAACTTCACAAAGCAGAGAAGCTTTGAATACTCACTTGTTAGAGGAGACTTAAATGGTTTAGGTCATATTCCTCTCTAAGGAAATGTGGCCATTGAATAGTTAAATTCAGAAATAGGCAAATAGAAGGTTGTACTGACACATGTAACAATACAAGACGTACAGTATCCTCGTACTTTACAGGATAAACAGCTGTAAATGTGTCTTCAAAGCACTCATACACTGCAGAAAATGAATGTAGTGGAACAGATAGTTATTATAGTGTTTTTTTTTTTACTCAATATGTGACAGACTCAAATGGACTTGCTGGACACGTTCAGAGTTGAGAGTCTGAAAAGCAACCAGTCGATCTGGTTTGGCCACTACACCACTTCCACCGTCGTCTCCCCGTCTCCGGGAGTTCGGGAAGTGATGAGGTAAGAAAATGCTGGAGGTCAAACCAGTTTGTTTTAAGAGGGTGTGTGTGTGAATACGTATTGTCTCGTTGACGTTCAGTGGGCTGCTCTTTTGACACGCAAAGTCGATTTTTATCACTCAAACTAGCAGCGTTTGACCGGCAGCTGGTTTTAATTTTCATCCTGTTATATAGAGTTTAATCTGAGTGATGGGAGATTCCTTTATTTTGGGAAATCATGACAGTGTTGTTATCACACTTCTCTGATATTTGGGACTTCTTGTGTTTTAGATCTGCTGTTGCATATCTGTGTGGCCACCTGCACACACTGGGCGGCCTGATGCCCGTCCTCCACAGCCGACATCCTCAAGGCACCCTGGAGCTGGAGCTGGGTGACTGGATGGAGAACCGCAGGTACGTAAAACAACAGGATCGCAAAATATTACACACACACACACAGCTCTCACAGGGCATCTGCAGAACTTGAAAAGTCTTAAAAGGCTTAAAATTCCGTTTCCTTGAAAAGTATTGTTATAATGGATTAAGAAGTACTGAAAAAAATGTCATACCAATAAATAATTTTTGGCACATCGTCCCTGGTTTTCATACTGTGAATTGCACTCTATGTGGTATTAAAAAGGCCTTAAAAACCTGCAGAAACCTCACATCTCACATCTGTCTGCAGGTACAGGGTTCTGGCCATAGACCACGACCTGCTGAGTTTCTCTGACCTGAGGTTCGAGCAGTGGCCGGCGGTGCTCATCACCAACCCCAAGGACGCACAGTACCTGCACCCCGGAGTGGAGCCGCTGGGTCGAATACGCAGATCGACACACATCAGGTGTCTGTTCAGTGTGTGTGTTGACTGCTTGTTGAACCATAAACCCCCTCGACGACACACGAGACCACAACACTAATTTATGCAGAGCACCTGATGCGTCATATACCCAGCTTGGGTATATTTAATATCACATCACTGTTGAATAAACTGTGGTTGCTTTGGCCTAAGAGGTCAGTAGCAGTAGCTTTTGATTCCATTTGGTAGAAAGTTAGCAACAAGTAAGGAAGTTGTTCTTTTAAATTACCTTTTTTTGGGCTATTTCTCACAAACTAGTGCACTTATTTAAATGAAAATAACATCTGTTCATGTGTTCCTGATGCACATCTAGATGCAGATTCTTTTTTTTTTTTTGCAACCTTGGCAAAAGTTCATCATTAAGTGTTTTTTATTAGGCGACCAGTAAGCACAATACACACAGCCTTTATCTAATTTTCAATATGAAAACATTCCTTTTCCGTGGTTCTCGATAGGATCTTGGCCTTCTCGGAGGCCCCAATCACAGGGGTGCATGTGAGCGTCGATGGGGAACCTCTGGGGACTGGCCACTCAGCTGGAGGTCCCCTCTATGTTCTGCTGTGGGATCCGTCTCTCTACCTCACTGGACTGCACACCATCAGAGTTAAAGTGAAGGTCGGCACAGTCATCATTTATCTTCCCGTTAAAGTGTTAAATATTTCATAGGACTTAATTCAATTTGGTTTATTTTGCTTGAGTTCAACTATGATTCAGTTGATAGATCTGCTGTCTGTGCACTGTAGGCTTTTAATGCGCTCTTTCTTCTAATTCTTATCGTTTTGTGTGTTTGTTTGTGTGAGTCAGGACTCGGCAGGCCGGTCGTCAGTGCGGGAGCAGCACTTTACTCTGGAGGAGGACCTGACTCCAAGCTTTGGTTTTGTGCAGTCCTTCATCCTCCTCACAGACCACTACGTCCTGGCCCGAGTGGCCTTCATTTTCATGATGCTGCTGAATGTCGGGGTGCTGCTGGCCTTCAGGTTCCTGCGTGTTCCTGCTGGGAGAGGTGAGCAATTATCTGATGTCCACGATCCGACTCTAGACTTAAGTAATTATTTAAACAACAGCAATTGTTCTTCATATATTCATGCATTTTTTGTTTTGTTTATCGCCTACAGGATTGACCTCTCAAGCATGTATGTCGCTCCATCTGGTCAGCACAATGGACACCTTCTACTACTCTCTGCTGCTGTTTAACCTGTGCACAGCCTTAGGTGGGTTTCCTCTCTTTGTCTGGTGCTTCAGGCAGAACACGCCTCTACTTTTAGAATAATGTTGTTCTAACAAATCACAATATGTCCGAATTTAAAACTCAAATCTACTGTGACATGGTTAAAATATTGGTTTGTTCCTGTGTGAATAACTCCTGTGTTGTTTCCGCCTCTATTCCCTTCAGGTCCGTGGTTCATAGGAGAGCTGATAGAAGGCCATAGTGGTGCCTGCTTCGCCTATGGGGTGTTCGTCGATGGACACTTCCTGGAGGGCAGCCTCACTTATATCATTGGAGTCGTTCAAGTAAGGACTTGCATTTTATCCAGCACGTCTACATCTCGGTTATGTGTGTACATGAGGAAGACCTTCTGCAGATATGTGAGAGGGGTGACTCGTGGTCATAAACCAACAGAGAATTAATACTATTGTTTAGCAGCTAAAAAAGCTGGATATTTCCCTCAAGAGCTACAAGGGAAGCGCGTATCGGACTCGCATTCATCAGGTGAAACGCACAACCCCAAATAAATGCTAATGTTGCTCAATATTTGTTTAATTAGGTAACTGTTTGCTAACAAGTTGGCTGTCAAGTTAAAAAGTGGTGCTATGTCAGTGTTCACAGCTTGTTCCCACTGCCCACAAGTGTCCAAAAATAATCTATTTGGAGTTTAACTTTTGTTTAATCTTATATTTTTTATGAATTGATTTTTTTTTTTTAGCTTTATATGTTCCACTGACATACTAGTCCGGTTTTATTTCCTGCACATTATCTGTACCTTATAGGAACATTGTGTAGGATTCAGTGGTTATGACCCTCCTAAAATAGATTAAGGGGGTCATAAGATGTATAAGAATCACATTTTAGCTTCCTTTTTCTTTTATTGAATACTTTGACCTCTTATTTCAAATCACTGTTTGTTTGAGCACGTTCACTCCAACCTGTGATAAGGGTTCACAGGCAAATATTTGTATTAATTTCAAAGGGTCACAAACCAAACAGGTTGTGAACCACTGCCGGATACTTAGACATTAACATGGTCTCTAACTATACGCTCATATTCTGTTGTTGTAGTATTTTGTTGTACAACAACCCGCAGTGATAATCAAGTACTAATCACATCTAACTGGAGCCCCCCCCCCCCCCCCAGATGCTGTTCTTCAACATGCCCCTCACCTGTTATCTCTGCTGGAGCATCCACCACCGCGGCAGAGGCAACACCTTCCGATCCCACTTCCTGCGGCCGGGCTGCCGCTGGCGGACTCTGGCGGTTCACCTCTTCATGCTGCTGCTGCTCACTTGGCAGGTCCACTCCTGCTACTTCCTCTTGGAGACCTACGGCCTAATGGCCTTTTTCCTGTCTCCGGTCCGCACGTGGGCATTGGGGCTCAGCCTGCTGTTGGTCTACCGCGCCTGGACAGGCCCCGCCCCTCCGGTTTGCGACAACAGCAAGAGCGTCTCTCCCTCTTGACAGTAGTTTCACTGTGCCACCGCGACTCCTCTGGAGCCTGACTCACAGATATATTTTGCTGTCTCTTATCCCACCTTGAAAGCCTCAATTTTCCCAAGACAGCAGCCCCCCCCCCCCCTCCTTTCTTTCTCTCCTCCTTCAAATAGCCACTTCACAGTACATCACTCACTATCCTGTTTATAGATAGTATTGTTTGCTTAATATGCATGTTATTGTAAAACACCGGTGAGCATATTTCGGGCCATATTCATAGCAATGTGTACAGTGTAAATAGAAACAACACCTTGGATACATTGGGGGTAAAATAGCCTGTTTGAGCTATGTGAACTAGTCCAATGTATGCCACAGTTAATGGTCTATCCTGCTGTGGTTTAAGCTGACTCATGTACTTGAGCTTTAGCACTTTTTGGAAGTGTTGCCTTGGCCGAATGCCACTTCACCACTGCCAAAGGATGAATAAGAAAGATACCAGCTTTTATTCTTCCCTCTGAAGATCATTTTCATTCACTAATGAAGGCTGGACGTGCCAAATCAAACCTCGTGTTTAAACGTCCGTCACACAAACTGTGTGGATGAGAAAGCGTCATTTTGTACACTAAGATTTCCTAACACCCCGCGGCTGACAGAGCGCGGTAGTTACAGTAACTTTGGTGAAGATGACACAGGTAATGCAACCTAGACGATTATGTTATAAGTTTATTCTACACATGATTAAAGGAAATCAAATGAATGAAAATACAAATCAATCAAATACTGTCGTCGATCTTTGTGTACAAGTAGTTGATGAGAAAAGAATTGCACTGCACACAACTGCCACATAAAAAAATTATATTTGCATTTAATAGTCATACGAAAAACTTTAATGCCGGTTTTCACCAAAACACAACGAGCTGGTCTGACTCCGTGCTCCTTCAAACGTGACTACAGAAAGCAGCTGTTTGTTTCTCAGGAATGTGAGCACTTGAACAATAGGCTGGTCCCAGATGTATTTCAGGACAATGTTTTTATACTCCATAGTAGCTCAGTGAACTAAAAAAAATCATGTTAAACAATCCAGATGTGTGGTGGCTAAAAGAAACAAAATGAATGTGTTACATGGTGAAATGAGATGAACCAGTACTATGCTGTTTTTATTTACTCTTCCTGATTGTATCGAGTGGTTTATTTTTTTTTTCCCCTTCATGTTATATATCTGCACTAGTAAAGGGCATCCCTTGCGTTGGAAGTTAATTTGACAGCTTTGTGTGTGAAAACAATGTTTGTATTTTTCCCTAATTCCTTTTTTTTTTTTGTGAAGGTGTGAGTGAAGTAAACCGTGTCTGTTGCACTCTTAATCCAATCCTTTCTCCTCGGAGGTAGCAGGTGCCTGGATTCCACCAGAGCAAACTGATTTAAAGACCACATTTATCAAGTCTTTTAATAGAAGCAATGTTCCAACAAAGTTAGATCCGGGTTGTTGTTTTCAGAACCATACCCAGCATGAGTGCAGAATAATTGCTCAGTGCTGTGATAAGACATGCAGTTTAATATTAGAACAGCTGCTAAACAATGAGACAATTAAATTATGTGCACTCTTGCTGGCGATGGTTTAATAACTCCCCCCCTATGCATAGACGAGTCTTTCATACTACCAAAGTATAATTCCACCATAAAGACAGATAATATAAATGTATGGACTTCTGTTACTGCAGTTATTCTCTCAGGATTCTCAGTACAAGTTGTGTAATCTGTCCACAAGGAGGCGGTATTGTGTTGCATTTCACTTCCACCCTCCAAATCATGCATGGAACCGTTTTTTTTTTTTTTTTCTTTGCAGAAAAGCAGCAAAACCATATCTGGATGAGACAATTTTGATAGTTGATAAATTCTCGCTCATTATGTTTATCTGGTTGATTGTTCTGTATCAAACACTGATTTGACTGTTGACGAGAACAACAGACATCAACCACTATGTGTCTGAGAGAAGTGATGTACTAAGTGTTCACTGATTGACTTATTCTGCATCCCTCCTATGTTCAAACACTGAAGTATATGAATGAAAAGTTGACGATTTGACACCTGCCACATGTTTTTTCTGGTGACAACTAAAATTAGAGCCAATCACATTTTTTTATTTTATTAATGGTTTATAGTGCTGTGGAATAAAATGTTCATTACATTAAATCATATACTTTGCATTTGTCTTCACTTCATTGTCACATGATGTTACAAAAGGGAGTGAACGAGAATATGTAGCCCAACACTGACAAAAACTGATTATGTCAATAAATAAAACTAGAAGTTAAATAATTAAAACGGAGAGTGAAAAGAAAAGCTTTGTATTTCAGCTGCACGATTCTTTATCTTTTTTGTTTTTGTTTAATCTTAGTACACATTTAATGAGTTTGCTATTGGTATGTAGCTTAACTGAAAACATTGGTAGAAAATAAACACACCAAGTAGCCTTTTCTAAAGCTCTTCGCAGCTCTAAACAGTGCATGTTTATCATCTGTACTGCTGAAGCTTTGCGCTTGTCATCTTTGTAGCTTTTGCTGGAAAGCTCAAGCAAACAAATTTAGTTAATGCTACTTTAAGATCTTTAGTTTAATAGTATGAGACAGGAGACATCAAGTCACATCTACACAATAAAGTCTAGTTTTCTTCTTAAAACTAAGCCACCCGTAATAATTGTGTGCATTCTGCTGGTGTCACTGTATAAATGCTTAAAGCAATTTAGCCAGCAAGCTAGTTAGCTTGCTAAGCTACTTAAAGATATTTTATTTAGTTTAGAAAATAAATCACATCTACAAAGTCTAAAGCCTTATTTCCATTGTGAAGATAATAGAAATATGACGTTACTTTAAGATGACAATGAGGTTTTAAAGATAGAAGCTATTTCAAAGTAGTGTTAGCTAGCTAACTTTTGTTATTATTATCAGCTTGCCAGCCCTTTGCTACGTGTTATGTGATGCTTAAGTAATATGCATTAACACAACATGTGCACTAGCTGTGGTTTTATGAAGACAGTTAGCTTAGGCTAGGTAGCTAGCTGAGGTAGCTGGTAATGTGGGTTAAGCTAGCAGTGTTTTCAGTTAAAGCTAACTAGCCACAGTTGTCTTACTTATTCCACTGTTTGTTTGTTTTACCAAGATTCTTTTTTTTCAACTGATTGGAGGTATTTCTTTTACACTCAATTTTAATTATTACACTAACGGTATTTTGTCTTTGACATGTTTTGACAGCCTTTTTTGCCAGTTTTGGGGCTCCATACAATAAAACAAGCTGAAGTCTTATTATCGCATTATTATTATTTTCTTCACTGGAAGATTTTAAAACCATGACAAACTGTTGCAATTTAGAAGGAAGTTAACATAATGAGGTAGTATTACAATGTTGTACTCTATTATTAAACTGCTGCACCAATATCCAAAAGTCTAAATCATTATTTAGTATTAAAATTCAAGACGTATCTAACCTCCAAGCACTCTTTACATTTATTTTTCACAAGCACACAATTTCAGATAACACCGTGTGTTTTTTTAAATTCATGGTTCATAATTGTAATCAACTGGTATCAGCTAATTAATGCAATCTCTCATTTGAGTTTATTAAGTTAGTGTTAATGGCAGTGATAGAAACTGTAGTTTAATTTCCCCAGGCGTCTGCCAGCTGAGAGCAACTGATTTTCTTCACTCTGATATCTTTATAATTTGCTTGCCAATGTTTCCCCCTGTCATCATAGAGCAAAATGCATCTGCAAGAAAATGAACACAAATGATTCAACTCCTGCCAAGTTAACAAAAATGCATACACTAAAGAAACATGCAATGATTAAATCTTACATACCTCCCATATTTTCGATACCATTCACCACAGTTTCCAGCACCTGCAGAGTGAAAGCATTATTACAACTAAATTATGCAAGGAGACAAAGAGAGAGAAGAGGTTTGCATTTTGCAAAAGAATAAGAACACCCTCATACTCAACCACGCATCATCGTGCATTTCCTCCTTACATTGATTTGGCCTGATTGAACTCGCTGGCTGAGTTCACAGAGGGCAGCTTCAGCTTTGTTCATGTAGTTAAGCACGGTAAACCGCTCCCGTGTGATATTCTTCCTTCGCAGTGTTTCATTTATCTCATCGCTCAGCGGCGGAGGATACGGCACATCCTTGTTGTACTGCGAGATCTGCCCACACAGGATCACATGGCTGTCGTTGTTCATCTGGAGGGAGGAGGAGGGTCGGAGGTCAATGTGTGACGTCGAGTTCATGAGACACAAAACACTCACTGTTGGAACTCAGGAGGAAGCACTTCAGAATCCACAGCCACGGGGGAAAAAAACAACTAACGCCTCAAAATTCACATATTTTCAAGCCTAAATAAACCACAAATGTACAAGTACAACATCCACTACATTATGTTCTGCGCACGCAGACACAACTCGAGCAGTACCTGTGTGATTACAATATCACTGATGGCACCTCCCACGTTGTCAAAGTAAACATCTATCCCATCAGGGCAGCACTCCTTGAGCCTTGAAGGGACGTCCTCTTGGCGGTAGTTGATGGCTGCAGAGAAGCCCAGGTCATCCACTAAAGCTCTGCACTTCTCATCAGAGCCGCAAATCCCAACCATTCTCACACAGCCATCCAGCCTGCCAATCTGGAAAAATAAGAGCAGGGTGAAGTGATACAATCAGGATTCACATCCTCTTCTCTGTAATCGCATCTCTGTTTATGGTTAGCCAGATTAAATCTGCTACCCTGAGTGTGGTTTTTCAAAAAATAGCAGTTATAGTTATCACCAACTATCTTGCCTTTATCTTTCTTACATTTAAACATTTTAAAGATAAAAAATATATACTAATTCACTCTAAGAAAACTAGAAATAAGGCAATTTTAAGAATGCTGTTTCTGTGTATTTTGCCAATATCTCAGATAGCTATAACTGTGTATTCTACATTAAAGCCGGAATGGACAAAAGGCTGAATTGTGCTGTGGTTACCTGTCCAGCTATGGAGCCACAGGCCCCAGCTGCGCCACTCACCACCATCGTCTGATTGGCCCCTTTGGTCACATTACCCTTCTCCCTTATGCCCAACAGAGCAGTGAGGCCTGTTATGCCAACTGCACCCAAAAAGTAGGACAAGCGCCCATCAACCAACTGTGGATCAACCTAGAGTACAAACAGAAGGTGTTATCACATTTGGTATTTATTCATGCAGGTAACTTTTAGTGCATGCATGCATTTTCAAATGCCACACCTTCTGTAAGACACTTCCTGTCATAACAGCGTTGGTCTGCCAAGGCCAGTTGAAGGAAGTGACCACATCTCCCTCACTGCAAGCGCTGCAGCGGCTGGACTCGACCACGCCGACACCTCCGCCGTCCACACACTCAGACAGTTGCCACGGAGTCACATAATCAACACCGGTGTCTTCGTTCATTCTGCACCGCTGAGAAGCAAAAACAGGAAGATAGGTAAGAGGTTGTATGCTCAACTCTTGTCGTAAACTTTCTATGGATAACACAGGTGGACTAGTTTGTATGATATAACTGTGGTTGTGTAACTGCAGTGGCAAGAAGAAGCTTGAGTACTTGCTTCTTCACTGAAAAACTTTTTGTTTTGTAACATGCATTCAGCTTGGAATCCATTTATGCATGAGCAGATACAATAACCTAAAGTTGATTACCATTCTGACTGCACCAATACTATAGACTGTGAGATTAATACCATGTAAGGGTCGACTGACAGGCAAAGCGTCCGAACAAGGACCTCCCCATCTTTCAGGTCACGTGCCAAAGTCGTCTCCTCAAGACGGAAGTTTTCAGGAACTGGCGCCCCGTTGTTACCTTTATGCATAAATAAGTAGTTTGATTAAACGTAACACACACGTGTGCAGTAATGTTACAGCACGACACACAAAGAACAATGTCATCTTCTGTTATTAAATTAATTATAATAATAAGTTTCCAACCTGGTCGTGAGTTGAGGACGATTCTCTGCACCTGCATCCTTGAAAAGTCACGTTAGCTTTGACTGGTACAACCGAACCTGGCAACAAACATCAGGCTTTATGTGCGCTAAAGTCTCAGTGTTAAAAGGTGCAAAGAGTTGTGTGCACCTCATGCAAATTGCCGACTAATTAAATAAACACTGTGTTTACTTCACCGGATAAATTCCTTCTGAATCTGAGCTAGCAGAAAGTCAACAGACCCCTGTAATGGTTTCACTCAGCGCACAGTAAGATAGTTCCCTGCTACCAACTTCCGTCTTCGTTTAAATTCCCTTTGGCAGTTAGACCCGATCTTCTTTAGCTGGAGTTAGCATGTCGTCTTTGATTCTGTATCTGTTTTTATTTTTAAACACATTTAATCAAAATAGTGACGGGCCCCGCGTGACATCCACTGTCCATATGATTCAATTTAGATCTAAAATAATGACAATGTGAGGTATTGTACGCAGATGCGACATTATGTCCCCGATGTTCCGGTATAGCGGGTAGTTACTATCTCGTCGTTCATATGTTGTCTTTTGAGTGCCCCCGTTGAGCCGCTACAGCAGCTCTCAACGACCTATTGTTAATCCAGCTCATTAGCACAGAGTGCTGCTGTTAACTGTACTCGACAGTTAATTTAACTGCAGTTACAATCGATGTTGACAATGCAATCAAAGATCGTAAACGCAGGCAGGTCCCATAGACTGGTTTGCAGGATCGATTGCTAGCTAAAAGTGTTTCAAACTGGGGAAGTGACGCTTTGAGGAGGAATCTGAAAAAAAAAATTAAAAAAAGTTTCGGGGGTTTCATGAGTAAAACGCTGCCGTTGCTATAGTTTACGGTCAACTGTAGCTGCAACACGACATCGTCAACACAGGCAAATGAAGGCGTATGTGACATCATGGAGGGACAGCTTAATGTAAGTACAGTTATGCATGCTGACATTTAATTAGTTCATGATGGCTTAGTAACAGAATAGAGCTAACGTTAGCTTCACCTGACCTGATCTCCACCACCAAATGTCAAAATACCAGAGAGACACGTGTGCCATCATGTATTGCCTGTAGCTAAAGTACTTACCGTTATATCTGTTGTGCAAAAAAACTGTGTCGTCAATACAATCAGCTGAGTATTTAATGATATGCTTAACTCAAATGTCAACTCTAAAATAAAATAGAAACAGTGCAAGTCAATAGTAACAGTGACCTTTAATTACCTCAAAATTGGCATGTCTTAAAAAGAATCACCTGTTGTGCACTTTATTTTGCAGGGAGATTTTTGGTGAAATACAGGATATTGGTGTCTAGGGCTGCAGCTATTTATTCTTGTCAATGTATCTGCTCGTTCAATTCTTGATTACAGGTGTGGACTGTATAACATGTTGTAAAATATAGAAAAGAGCCCCAGCAATTCAAATTGCAGAATTGCAGCAAATCTGTGCTGCAACCATTTAATACTTGGCTTTTTTTGCTTGAAAAACAACGATTATTCAATAATCCAATCACCACTCTTCTGTCAGTCGACTAAGCAATTGATCCAATAATCCTTCCAGCACTACTGGTATCAGCTTCAAGGAAACATACTGGTGCAGCCTAGAGAAAAGGCTGTTTGCACTCTCTCACACACACACACACACTCGCACCACAATTCCCAGTGCAGTGTCATCAGTAGCAGACATGTCAGTCTGACTCGACTTGTCAACGGCATCGGTGAATGTTTTCAGGCTTTGCACGTTATTTTAAGGGTCGGAGAGACTTGGAGAGTCAGATTGCAGCCCTGCAGAGCCTGGCACATGCCTGGTCATGTCCAATGCCATGATACTACAACAGTTACACCTACAACACCTTCCCATTATAGTAGCTCCTTTTATAAGCAGACATTTTGCATTGTCATGGGAAGCAACAACAATAACGATGGTTTGGTTCTTCTCAAGTGATCCAGCATGCACAACACCAGGACCCTGACACTGAAACAGCCCAATTAAACCGCCATCATTGATTTTATTATTTACACCTGTGCTTTTCCTTTTGTGACACATCAAAATGCTGTGAAAAAAGACCAATGCAGCAGTCTGTCATTCATTCATCATTTAATTTGTTTGACATTACGTCACCGAGTAGTCCACAGATCACCTTGCAACATTTGGGCCTTTGTTAAGGATTCACTCGGTATTATTTCATCCTGAAACATCATGAACTCAAGTTAAGGCCAGTTCACGCTAAGATAATGCTGTTTGTAACTATAATAACTGACACTTTGTGTTTATTTAACAATATGCTGTATTTTGATAATCAATTTAAAACCATTTTTTCATGCAGAAATAAGACATTATCTGGGTCAATGCCAGGCTTTGCTGTTTATCTCGGTTTTCTTTCATTTTAAGTTTAATGTCTGCTTAAGATCAGTGTGGTATGAATTGTGTAAAACACTCTTGATGAAGGTCCAAAGGTCAATACTTTTATAATTTTGTCTGCTAAAAAAAGTTATCAATTCGGGATCTGTTAACATGCGACGTTTTTCATGTTTTAGACTTTTCAGCAATTATTTGGAAATCCTATTTCCTGCTAAAAATACCACCACCACCACAAACAAACGTGTTCTCATACACATTTGTTTCCCCTCATGGGGCCTTTCTGTAGTTTCCCCTTGCTGTGTCACATGCAAATAACCACCGCATGCCGTTCAGGAGGAACGTCGTCAGTGATATCAAGTGTGTGATCTGGAATGAAAAGTGAACGTAAAACGGAAAGTAGCCGGGCGCGTCCTCCCTCTTAATCCCCGCGGTCTCTCCTCCAAGTGTGTGTTGGAATTTCCCGCATGGACTGTGAGGGATCTTGCCCCGTAAATTACAGCGGCTTGCGTGTCAGAGGAAAGCCTTATATGGGCATGGAAGTGGGTGTGGCCACCGAGCTGGTAGCGGCGGAGGGGAGAGCAGAGAGACACACAGAGAGAGTCGATGCACAGCAAAAAAGGCCGCATTGCCACTGTGAGTTGTTTGTGCAATCCCAATGCAATAACGTGCAATAGACAGCGGCGGCATTGCTGCACATTAAGCGCGTTCCTTTTTTTTTTTTTTTCGACCGGGAAGGACTGTGTTTACGCATCGCCCCCCCCTCTGTTCCTCTTCACTTTAAAAGCGAGGAAAGGAGAGAGAGAGAGAGAGAGAGAGAGAGAGGGAGAGGAAAAAAAGTACCAGTGAGTGAGGTCAGCAGCATAGCATGAGTCAACCTTGGGGATGTATGCAGTCATCATCGCATGTCTGTATTGTGCGGGCCTGCCGCCGCCGCTGCTGCTGGCCGCACAACGCTGCCAGTGTGCGATCCTGCGGGCTGAGCTGCCGCTTGTAGCAGCTTTCATGACGAACACAGTAAGTATCGCTGCTGCTGCTGTTGTCGACAGTGCATGTTGTTGTTGTTGTTGCCACGGGCTCGATGGACAAACTTTTGTTTACCTCGATCGAGACGCACTGCTGTCGATCGAGGCTCCGAAGGATGTTGTTTTTTTATATGTCGCAATAGAAGCACAGAAACAGACACGTGACGCGTTAAAACCCCCTGTTGACAAGTTGAGTCCATCCGCGGCATTGTTTTGCTCGTCACACTCCTATGTTGCAGAGAGGGCTGCATGGTTGGCTGCTTGTTGCCACGGGACATGGCATTAGTAACGGGATAAGCTGTGTTCTGCAACAAAGGGCTTCTCGTAAATAGCGCTGAGCTGGCTGGTCACAGAAAGTGATGTGGAAGGGGAGGGGGGGCAGCAGGAAGACTCCTCTCGTGGAAGGACTCAGCATGTTTTTTTTTCTTCTCATATCTTCTGTTATTTGTCGCGTCTTGCACGCTTGCAGGCCTCTCTTGGTGTGCATAGCTGTGCCACACGGGGCTGGTTTAAATTAGAAAACAGCGATGGATTAGGGCGGGTGATGGTGTCCCGGGGGTGTATTTTAAGCCAATTAAACGTGTTACTTCGTCTACTGGGCTAAACCCCAGGCTTGTGTAAGGTTTGCACTGGTGATGCGTCACGATGATCCCTCACCTCGGATGTTGACCGCTCGCTCACACGTTTGTTTTATCTCGTCCTGCAAGGAAAATGTGATTTTTATTTATGTGCACCTTTCTCTCCCCCCCCCATAGAGGATGTCTCATATGTTTTTGACAACATGGCTATGGGCATGTGCAAGTTCGCATGGCATTGCTGGTGCGCTCACACGCGCATGCACACGGTCTGCCACAGAGCATGGTCACCCAGTGATGCCCCTGAGCCAGTGCAGGATCTGAACAGCTGCAGCTGTCTATTTTAAGAAGCCTGTGTTTTACTAGGCCACCAGAGTAAAGGGTGACAATCATCATTCACTTCCTGGGTTGTCGGATATGTAGAGATTCTAGTATTATTTTATGTTAACAGCATGACATAGTTGTTTGTGTCCTGCATGTTATGGTGATTTTCGCAGCAATAAAAAGTCAAAATGTTTTTTCTGACTTATTATTTTATACAGATGGAGCGGGGATCGAAATCTTTAACAGAAACAGTCGGGATCTGTGTGCTTCACGGAAATTTGGCAGACTGCACCGTGTCAAAAAATCTGCTCCAAAACCTCAGATAATAGTTTTGATAATCGCCACGGGTTACCATGGCAATTGTCAAGAAAGCAAGCTATCATGGCCTGCAAGGCCATTTTGACTTTTTTCCTCTCGCAGAGATCCTTTCATCATGAATCATGCTTGCTCACTTTCAGTTGCCCTTCCTGTTTTGAGTGTGCAGCCGCGGTTCAAAGGGCATGAGTTCCCCCTCTTTTTACTCTCCTCTCGTGAGTCACGCGGTTGTAAAGAATGAGGTTTTCATCTCGTTCAACCTGCTGTCTGTCCTGTAGTTTGGCGGGAAAGAGAGCGCATGTTACGGGTCAGTTGAGCAGAAACATTTTCTTCAGTGTGTGTGTGTGTGTGTGTGTGTGTGTGTGTGTGTGTGTGTGTGT